GAGAGAGAGAGAGAGAGAGAGAGAGAGAGAGAGAGAGAGAGAGAGAGAGAGAGAGAGAGAGAGAGAGAGAGAGAGAAAGAGAGGTAGAGGTAGTGGTAGTCGTAGTGGTAGTGGTGAATGTTTACAAACACCTGTGTGTGAAAACCCAGAGATGAAAGGTTACCATGGTGACGACTGCAGCACTGAGTTCCATTAAGACTGCATTGAGGTTTGTATCTGACAATTTTGCCACCTGTTAAAAAACTATGGCTCCTATAAAAAAAATACCAGACCGTGAGCATCAGGGAACCCCAATGAACTGATATATGTTGTTTTTTTTTGGTTTTGTGTGTAAAATGTGGAGATGGGAGCAGTTTGTCTAAAGTGTACTTCTCTCTGTTCTGAAGAAAGTTCCGGAAAGATTTAACATGGGAATCAATTGGGAGCTAGGTGGACTTTTTGTCTCTTCAAGAGGCATTTTGATTAATATTTCTTCTTACTTTTTTTTAATTTTCCAACCTAGGAGAGGTTTTCCTACGTTTTTCATGAAAAAATATGTCTGAGGAGTGTAGGGTTTGGGAATTATGGCAAGTTTAAAACATTTTTGGGGGAGCACTGCTGCACTCTGTTTTGAGATCAAAGCACTCTAGACTTAACGAGCTGCTCCATCCACACTAATGTTAAAATCTGAAGAAAGCCTCTTTACCAAGCTCCAAACAAAGTTAATTATCTCAAAAAGTGTAAAAGATATCAAAAATAAAAGTCAATTTTGAATAGCTGAAGGTGTTGTGATCATTTGAAAGTTGGAATGAAGTGTCTAGCTGAAATTATGTGGAAGGAGTAGCATTTGGCGCAAAGTGTAGGAAAAGAGGATTTGAAGGCATCTCCCATTGACTTCAATGTTAAAAAAAAGAGTTTAAAAAGCTGAATATTTCAAAAAGTATAAAATCTTTCAATTGAATTGATTGATTTTTTTTAACATGTTAAAAGGAAAAGTAATCATACAAATGGTGATACAATTTCATACATCTTACCAATCAAACACAGCGTAAATTCAACTTTAAATGTAGCCTACAATGAGCTCTTATTATCAACTTGGCCTACTTTCATTCATTTCTCCATTGAAAAACTGGCTCAACTTACCCCAAGGCCCACGGTTCACTTTACCCCAAGGCCCACGGTTCACTTTACCCCAAGGCCCACGGTTCACTTTACCCCAAGGCCCACGGTTCACTTTACCCCATAGCCACCATTTTAGAAAAAATAGCCTAGCATTAAAATTCAGAGTCATCTTTAGCTTAATGACTCACATGGTTTAATACGCTGCCAACACATGTTGATGTATATTTGTTTAAACCTGGATACATTTTTTTTGACATGACAGCCGATATAGCTGACATCTAGAAAATTTACTTTGACAAGCAAAAAAAACGTTTTTTTGTAAAAGACTTTACTTACCAGACCACAATGAGCATCTCTCTTTCATAGGCAATGAGAAATGGGAGGAGCTTGCATAATTTCTGGTCACGTGATTACAACTATAAGGCGTTGCCTGGTTACAGGGGGTGGTTCAACTTACCCACTGGCTCAATTTACCCCCTTCTCCCCTACAGATAAACCATAAAACGATATGATTGTCACCAAAACAAATACAGATAATGTTGAGCTTTTCAAAACAATAAATTCACTATGTGTTGTGTGTCCTCTGTGTGTGGTGTATGTGTTGTGTGTCCTCTGTGTGTGTTTGTATGTGTTGTGTGTCCTCTGTGTGTGTTTGTGTTGTGTGTCCTCTGTGGTTGTGTGTCCTCTGTGTGTGTATGTGTTGTGTGTCCTCTGTGTGTGTTTGTATGTGTTGTGTGTCCTCTGTGTGTGTTTGTGTTGTGTGTCCTCTGTGGTTGTGTGTCCTCTGTGTGTGTATGTGTTGTGTGTCCTCTGTGTGTGTGTGTGTTGTGTGTCCTCTGTGTGTGTTTGTATGTGTTGTGTGTCCTCTGTGTGTGTTTGTGTTGTGTGTCCTCTGTGGTTGTGTGTCCTCTGTGTGTGTGTATGTGTTGTGTGTCCTCTGTGTGTGTGTATGTGTTGTGTGTCCTCTGTGTGTGTGTATGTGTTGTGTGGCCTCTGTGGTTGTGTTTATGTGTGTGTGTCATGGTATGGTTGTGTGTATGTGTGTCATGGTGTGGTTGTGTGTGTCATGGTGTGGTTGTGTGTGTGTGTGTGTGTTTTCTGCCTGAAAATACGTAGCGGTTTTGAGATTAAAATCACAATTTCAATCAGATCAACTACAGAGCATTTATGAAACAGAGAAGTCTAAAAACAGAATGTTACTCACACAATTCTAGAAGTCACCAGTTGTTATCCTGTCAAATGGAGTTGCAGGTTGATTAAACGGTTCGCTCGTCACGCAAGGTATCACATGACATGAAAGGGAGCAAGGTCATTGGACAGACAAATTACAAATTCATTTAGGTTGCTTGGTTACTTTGAAGACTGCGTGAACCGGTCAATGCCATTGGGGTCCCAACAAATTAAAAAAATATATTTAAAAAAATATATATATATATTTTACGTTGCACCGGCTGCACCGTGGATAGTTACGCCACTGCCTCTGTGTGTGTATGTGTGTGTGTCATGGTGTGGTTGTGTGTCCTTTGTGTATATGTGTGTGTGTGTATATGTGTTGTGTGTCCTCTGTGGTTGTGTGTATGTGTGTGTGTCAAGGTGTGGTTGTGTGTCCTCTGTGTGTGTGTATGTGTGTGTGTGTGTTGTGTGTCATCTGTATGTGTGTATATGTGTGTGTCATTGTGTGGTTGTGTGTCCCTGCAGGCAGCACTGCCCCCCCCCCCTCAAGGCTCAGCATGGAGGCGGCTGACATCGCTGTCCTCGTCCTCTACTTTGTCTTCGTCATGCTCGTTGGGATCTGGGTAAAACTCTTCTGTTTCTGAACTCTGAGTAATGTGTGAGTCCCTCTGAGTAATGTGTGAGTCCCTCTGAGCAGTGGCGAGCCATCAGGGCCCTCTAGGCCCTCTGTGACGGCCTAAGATATTCTAAAAAATAATATTTCAAAACATTATTTTTTTATATATATTTTTTGTTACATTTTTCATTAGTTTTACCAAAATAACTTGATTTAATTGTATTTAAAATAACATTTCCAAAGAAATAAATCGATCGAATCTGCCTGTTCAGTTTCTGTTGGAATGTGAAGGGTTAAATGCCGTCTCTGCGAGTTACTGTGAAGACGGGAGAGCTTGTTGGTCCCTCTGTACATTCACAGAGGGCCAGCTATAGTAACTCAATGAGAGAGTAATGTCAAATGACAGTAAAATTGACCAATCATACCTTCCCTCTAAATGGGTGGGCTTTATGTTCGCGGACTTTATGACAAGTTCCGCCCGCTGTGAAGTTTATGCATGTGTATAGAGTGGCGAAGTCACGCCCATCTACTTCCGCTCCATGGGACCTTATTTCGGAAAAATGTATTGAAGTCAATGAAGAGAGAAAACTTATCTTTCGATCCCATTTGAATTGTGCCATGAATTACACATATGATGTTTGTCAATCTTAAAAAATCATTTCCATGTCAAAAAAGTTACAGTTTGTCGTAAAACTGTTGAAATATAAGACTATGAAAAATACGCAACTCGAAAGACTACAAATCCCAGAGTCGCGTAAGTGATGTCACAATTGTTTTCCTCCACTAAGAGATAGCTAAGATCAGCGCCATATAGATATAATCTATCTATATGGCGCTGGCTAAGATAAGATAACTTTAACAAGATGCCTGTGTGCTTAGTACCAGGTTGTTATCATACCAGCAATGGGTCTTGCTCGTTCTTTCGCTTCCCGTCTGATGAAAGGATGGCGTTATATTTGTGCCTCTATCCTGAGCACGCAATGAAACATGTTGAGCATAGAAAATGCTATTGAGCGCGCACTTGAACATTTTTGAGCACAGAGAAATATATTTTCTCTCATAAAACTCCTGCTCCGTGCGCAAGCAGACCGCTGCACGCGCTCTCTCTCCCTCGCTCGACCTCTCCACCCTGTGCGCGCTCAGCTTTGCCTGCCTGCTCGCTCAAGTTGTCACAGCGTTACAAATGTGCCACAAAACCAACCAATTGGTGAACTTGAGAAGGTCAATTCTGATTGGCTGGTCGTCTCTAATCATATCTTCTATCTGAGATACAAGAAGAGAGGGATTTTCGGGCTGTTGACGTTCTTATTACACAATCCATCGTTGACATTTACAGGACATGACAGACTCGAATGAAGAGAATAGTACGCCACAGTGTCAGGTGAGTTATACATTTCTAGTTTTCTGATATCACGTTATTGTTTGCAATGCCTTTGACGAAACCTTTTATCCGATCGTTTCAGATAAGGGTGAGTTTGCTAGCCAGTAACATAGCTATATGGGTAGTTTAAGCAAACAGCTAACAAACCGTAGCCTACATGTACATGAACCCTTCTGAGGTATTGATTACTTGCTTTAAGCATTAGAGGTGGCAGAATGACAAAACATGTTTCTCTCTCTATCACAATTTTGGGTTGACCAGAACCTGGACCAACTTCTGTTTCCTGTTCTACAATGGGCATAGAGCTTGCGTTAATTTTCAACCGGACAACTAAACAGATTAGGCTAGGATACCCGATAAAGTTAGCAGCACGTTAACCATGAACAGCCTATTAATCCGTTCTCCTAATGTTACTTCATCCAACGTTGTGGAATTAGAGAAAAGGGGCTTCGAAACGTGCTTTTATCAGGGGTGGAGGGAGTTAAATATTAGTTAAATATAATATTGGTGCGTGTGATTGTAGTGGGTGGAGGTGGTGAAATGAGGATATCCATTTTGGAGTTCAAGCTAGTATAATATAGTTAACGTTACACAATAATAAGGAAGATAGCTATTTTTGTGATACACGGCTATTGATATGGATTTAGAGTGCATATTTGAGACTTCCAAACAGTAAACAAAAACGTAACTTATGGGTGAGTGTTTTTAGCAGAGCCATATTATGTCCTTGTGATTCTGTTGATTATTACCTGTCTGTATTATGTTGCAGCTCAGCTGATTTTGGATTGATGGCAAAGGGAGAGGGACTTAAGTGAGAGTGAAAACACAAGGTAAGTTTAAAATAGGTCAGCAATTTCCCATCCTATAGGTTGCTAGATGTATCTAACCCTTTCTCCTGTCTTTGCCTCCCTCTTTCAGCACAAGAACCCCAGGGGGATTCAATGGAGCCTGAAGACCTGCAATGAGACCCTCACCCTGAGTCTCAACTCCCAGAGTTTTGCAAGCCTCTCCCTGTTCCTTATTTTTATTAAACCAGACATTAAGCTTCCCAATGGTGTGGTCTTCGTTTTGTGAAAAATATGATTGCCTCACATATGTTGTTGCTGTTGTTGTCTTTTGTGATAGTTAAATTGCTCCTGCTGACTTGAGCCAGCCATTCTTTCCTCCTCTCTGTGTCAGTGGGGAAACCGTACATTCATACTCCTTTCTCTGAGCGATTGGAGCATCCCCCAGGCAGCACAGCAAACCATGGGGGAGACTACTGTATATGCCAGGACAACACAGAGGAAAAGGCACTGACAAACTGCATGACATGCTATTCAATGTTTATAGAATTCCATTTATTTACAATGGATGTCCCTAAAACAACACATTTAACATCATCTTCATGCTGCTGCTAGTCCTTTGACTCATTGTGCTGTCAGTTGACAATCATTGATAGGCACCTGTCTGTCTCCTGTCCTTTCTGAAAGTCATAAAGAGTACATTAGTCATTTAGATTACTTAGAAATTATTCTAATCTGAATTTTGAAGCATTCCTTGCCATCCCCTACCTCTAAATATATCAATAAACATTAGGAAGTGATGCTCCTGACTACCATACAAGTTTAAGAAGATAATATTTGTTTTAAAGAATTCAAAGCAATAACAACAGCAACAGGCTCTGTAACCAAGGCAACGTTAGCCTAACATGTGTTAACAGGTAAGATAGCTGTTCACACTATCTATGTATATTTTTTACTTTTTGTAATGCTATTTTATTTCTATTTAACATGTTTACATTTTCGATTGTTTAATTCTAGTCTTTTAACTGTCTAATGTACAATGCCTTGTCTTTTGCTGCTGCAGCGTAAACATTTCCCCAATTGGTATCAATAAAGTACTTCTTATTTTATCTTAATCCTCAAATATTAGCACATTTTACTTTAAAAAAAACAAAACATATTGATGTAACTAAATACACATATCGGTATGTTGTATAAATATTGCAAATCAAAACCTTTATTGACCACTAATTACCAAAAATTGCATTTCTATCCTGTTATTAATGCATTCAAATCGTGATTCAAATGGCCCGCCACGAACTTCCGGGAACTTTCTGAGTCTCTCTGAACCACGTGACGATCAAGCATTTTGGACTTCCGCTGTCGCAACTCTTCTCTCTACTGGACCAGCCAATCAGAATTGACCTTCTCGAGTTCTCCGATTGGTTGGTTTTGTGGCACATTTGTAACGCTGTGACAACTTGAGCGAGCAGGCAGGCAAAGCTGAGCGCGCACAGGGTGGAGAGGTCGAGCGAGGGAGAGAGAGCGCGTGCAGCGGTCTGCTTGCGCATGGAGCAGGAGTTTTATGAGAGAAAATATATTTCTCTGTGCTCAAAAATGTTCAAGTGCGTGCTCAATAGCATTTTCTATGCTCAACATGTTTCATTGCGTGCTCAGGATAGAGGCACACATATAACACCATGCCAGGAGTGGCTGGATCAAGTTAGCTACCTAGCTAGTAGCAAGCACGTTAGTTAGCATTACAGCCTTAGCCTTGTCATTTGTATTTGCCTTAACATGAAGTAACATTAAGTTAACCAAAGTGTTAAACAGTAAGAGTAGTAGTCATATTTCGTGAACCCTTTGAAGAGTACTGTCACACCGGTGTGATCATTCTATAATACACCATTTAAGCCCGGGGGAGAAATGCTAACGCTAACGCTACATTAGCATCGGCGATCTTTTCTACTTCATGCTATCTGCACAAATGGTTGACATTAAACATTAACCTGTTACGCACGGCCCCCCCGGTACCGGGCGGATAAACGCGTCATTTGCAGGAAACAACGTCTAAGGAATCTTAATATTTAATAAAACTATGAATGTTTTATATCCATGTAACGGGAAGAAACTCAGCTAACTGATCTTTTTAATTTTTTTTCCAAAAAAACCCCACAATGCTAGCACTCAGCCTCTGAATTACCCACGAGCGAAAAAATGTAACCTAAAACGGCACCTAAACTCACAATAACTCCCTTATTACTTATCCTAGATGCACAGCCAACCACTCGTTTTTGGTCTCCTGGAGACACTGAATCGTTTGGTGCCCACCTCAACACTCAGTGATAAACATTTGCGACGCTATAAACGAAAGCGTACATCATAACATGTGGAGCTAAGTAGCTAGAAACGCTAACATGGCTTACTTTGGTCAAAACTGGTCTTCAATGGCATTAAAACGATAAACAAACGATGCTGCAGTTAATCCATAGGTTAATCCAATGTATCTGTGCCCTCTTTGAAATGATTTCTGATAATCCATAAGCAATAAAACTGCTTTTTCGTTTCCAAATGCCAGAGCTAGAGATAGCTCCACTCTAACCTAGATTTACATGCGCGCAGCCCCCACCTTTTCTCTTTACAATGAGTGTGTATGTGGGGGCCTCCCCCTTCGATTCTATTGGCTTTAACGGTCAGAAAGAGGTGTCAACCATCAAAATCGAGCAAGGGGGGCCAGAGATATGAAAAAAAAAACATTTTCACCCAAATCACCTCAGAGGTGGGGTGGTTTTGGCTAAACCTCTCTAAAAAGGTCAAATGTCACTTGTTTTGCATCAATCTTGATACAGGGTACTTATTATATGTTGTACTTTGGATTCCTAAAGCTTTTAGTCTACTAACCCATCATCCAAGGGTAGTCTTCACTATCTGTAAAAAATAATTTTTGGACGGACACTATAATTTACAGTTTTTTACGATGTAAAATCTGAATTTTCTTTAAAATAAAAAACATTTATATTGATTCTGACACTTCTACATCCAACTCACAGATGTAACCTTGCTTTGATAAAAGAAATTATTCATATAACCCTTTTAGAAGTTAGGTTGTAGTCATTTGTTTTGGGCATGTCTTTTTCGAGCCTGAAACATGAAAAACAGGCTTGGTGCTTAACAGGTTAACAGGTTAAAAAGACCAGGCAGTTCAGAGAGAATCAAAGGAAGGCAGGCAGGCAGCTTTGCATGACATTCTTCTGGACGTGTTTCATTGTGGTGATATTGAGGGTAGTCAATCACTTTTTTGACAAGACAGTAGTGACGGCCATCTTGGTGACGTGAGATGTAGTTGATTGAGCGTTTCACACAAAAAAATGTGTTACTTCACAGTTTTACGACACATTTCTTTTTTTTTACTTGCAAAATTATCTTTTAAATTGACAAACATCATATGTGTAATTCGTGGCACAATTCAAACGGGATCGAAAGATAATCTTTCTCTCTCCATTGACTTCAATACATAATTTTTCCGAAATAAGGTCCCATGGAGGTCCACCGGAAGGGGAGGGACTTCGCCTCTCTATAAAGTGGTGGTTTTTCGAGGGAAGGGGGGGGGGTCAGAGGGCCTATGTATAAAAGTCACGGCTCGCCACTGCCTCTGAGTAATGTGTGAGTCCCTCTGAGTAATGTGTGAGTCCTTCTGAGTAATGTGTGAGTCCTTCTGAACTCTGAGTAATGTGTGAGTCCCTCTGAGTAATGTGTGAGTCCCTCTGAGTAATGTGTGAGTCCCTCTGAGTAATGTGTGAGTCCTTCTGAGTAATGTGTGAGTCCTTCTGAACTCTGAGTAATGTGTGAGTCCCTCTGAGTAATGTGTGAGGCCCTCTGATTAATGTGTGAGTCCTTCTGAGTAATGTGTGAGTCCCTCTGAGCTCTGAGTAATGTGTGAGTCCCTCTGAGTAATGTGTGAGTCCCTCTGAGCTCTGAGTAATATGTGAGTCAGTCTGATTAATGTGTGAGTCCCTCTGAATAATGTGTCAGTCCCTCTGAGCTCTGAGTAATGTGTGAGTCCCTCTGAGCTCTGAGTAATGTGTGAGTCCCTCTGAGTAATGTGTGAGTCCCTCTGAGCTCTGAGTAATGTGTGAGTCCCTCTGACTAATGTGTGAGTCAATCTGAGTAATGTGTGAGTCCTTCTGAGCTCTGAGTAATGTGTGAGTCCCTCTGACTAATGTGTGAGTCAATCTGAGCTCTGAGTAATGTGTGAGTCAATCTGAGCTCTGAGTAATATGTGAGTCCCTCTGACTAATGTGTGAGTCAATCTGAGCTCTGAGTAATGTGTGAGTCCCTCTGAGCTCTGAGTAATGTGTGAGTCCCTCTGAGCTCTGAGTAATGTGTGAGTCCCTCTGAGTAGGTTTGGTTCTGTTTCATCGTAAAACATACAGCATACATCGTACTTCTCATCTGCTGTAAATGTGTGCATTCTTGTATTTCGATGAGTCCTAACCCAACTCTTCCCTGTCCTCCTCTCAGTCTTCGGCCCGGGCTAATCGCAGCACGGTTAGGGGCTACTTCCTGGCCGGCCGCTCCATGACCTGGTGGCCTGTGAGTAGTCCTCTTCATGTGCTGTTCACTCTACATAACATTACATTACATTACATGTCACTTGTTAGACGCTTTTATCCAAAGCGACTTACATACTCAATACTGTGTCCAATACCCACAGGAATAATTTGAGGTGAAGTGTCTTGCCCAGGGACACAATGACATGCTGATGGCAGTGGGGTTTGAACCTGTGACCACCTGATCCAAAAACCAACACACAACCCACTGCACCACACGCCTCCTATAACATAACCTGTCAACATCTGCTTGTATGTTTGTTTACCTCTCTGTGGTTCAGCTTTGTACTGAATACTTAAGATGTGTTACCCAGTAGCCAATCATGGAAGGTCATTGCTGACACAGGGAATAACAGTGCATGTATTTCATGTATTTAAAGTAATTAAAGTATTCAGATGCAGTTTGAGAATGACCATGAGTTATGAGACCATGAGCCCTGTAATTTCTTCTGATTGGTTTTCAGACTATAGGTCATGACTGCTACAATCACTATTCCTGACTCATCTACAGGCTCAGGGACCCTAGCATATTATGGGATATGTTTAAAGGGTTAAGAAGCAGCCATGCCATTGTGTCAGATGGATCCACGTGATGAATCACCTCTCTGAGTACAGTCGCTGATGTTGTTGTCCTGCTGTCTGCAGATCGGAGCCTCTCTGATGTCCAGCAACGTGGGCAGCGGCCTCTTCATCGGCCTGGCAGGAACAGGAGCCGCCGGGGGCATCGCGGTGGGGGGGTTCGAGTGGAACGTAAGGAACACAGGGTTTGACCTGGGGAGGGATATCCATCACCATGGATCCCATCAGTCTGCTGGTGGAGTGGGGCAGCTCTTCAGAGTTCAGGACTACAGTAACATTACATTTAGCTGACGCTTTTATCCAAAGCGACTTACAATTACCAATTACAGGGACATTCTCCCTGGAGTAACTAAGGGCTAAGTGCCTTACTCAAGGGCACACTAGTGATGATGTTCCAGGTGGGATTTGAACTCACAACCTTCCGATCTTCAGCCCACCTCACTATCCATTAGACCACCACTTCCCAATATGTCTTTAGTCCTCATCCTAGAGTGTTTCTGTGCTTTCATTCAGTGTGTGTGTCTGTCTGTGTGTGTGTGTGTGTGTGTGTGTGTGTCTGTCTGTCTGTCTGTCTGTCTGTCTGTCTGTCTGTGTGTGTGTGTGTGTGTGTGTGTGTGTGTGTGTGTGTGTGTGTGTGTGTGTGTGTCTGTCTGTCTGTCTGTCTGTCTGTGTGTGTGTGTGTGTGTGTGTGTGTGTGTGTGTGTGTGTGTGTGTGTGTGTGTGTGTGTGTGTGTGTGTGCACCTTTGTTAATTAAGAGGACTTTTGGTATGAATACACACCGACATTAGCCAGACATTTTGTATTAACAGGACAGGGTCGGTGTCCTGCTAATAAATACAAATTCTAAAAGCGTAGAAGTGTTTCTATAGGTGTAGAAAGCTTAAATACCCCAAAAAAAAAAAAAGACCTTTTTATCCACAAAACCCAGAAATTGTGTATTTTCTGTGTGTCAGAACAGCGCTCATACAGCTGGTTTTGGGTATTGCACCCGCTCATGAATATTCACACAGAAGGAGCTCTGATTGGCTGACTGCCGGATGGTCCTGACAATTCATGTTTCTGTGAAAAATGCTGTGTGTGTAATAATAATAATAATGATAATAATAATAATAATAATAATAATAATAATAATAATAATAATAATAATAATAATAATAATAATAATAATAATAATAATAATAATAATAATAATAATAATAATAACATAATAATTATTATTATTATTATTATTATTATTATTATTATTATTATTATTATTATTATTATTATTATTATTATTATTATTATTATTATGTCTAATACTACCTACATTTCATTGCAGTTTAGACATTTAATTATCAGGCTTTTGTTTAATACTATATTATGTCATTATTGTATAAAACAACAACAGAAGAATGGCTTGTGCCGCTGTTATGACGGTCAATGATAGTAACGGATAGTCAGCTAAAATGTGGTGGAAAATGTACGGGTACTGGTTAATGTTACGTAACATTACTACATAGGCTATGTACATTAATATGTGGGGTTGTGTTTTAATCACTGCGTTCTCAGCTCTACTGCTTATGTAGCAACTGTATTGTTTTCTCCGTACTCGCTATATAGTTCAGGTTAATCTTTCCACAGCCTGCAACGTAACCCTCTCACGTTTTGGTTCGCAGCTCCAGCCCATGCACCAGCCAGGCAACTTTTTAGTTTGCAATACCCCAGCGGGTAACCACGCAAATTATTTCTGTGTCCGGGCCCGGGCCGAGCAGGCATCATCATATGTCCGAAAAATAGGCAGAGTATCCGGATTACATGGAGCTCAGCTAAATGTTACAATAAATTATAATTTACTTTTAATAAGGTAACTTTATCTTTGTTTACATGCATCCAATCGTGAATGTATACATTTGCCCTTAATAATATCTTGACGTTTGGGAATCAGCAGTCCGTGGAAATTCACAAGGGGGAGGGACTCCCCGGACTGCGGTGACAGTCAGGGCATATTCACATTTCATTCGCCAGACGTGAGGAGAAGTTCAAGGTAGGACTGGTGTAAAAACTTAAATGACACAGCTAATATGTTATGTTTTCTTGTTTCGAGGCTTCTCACTGTTTTTATATTGGAAGCTTGTTGAAACTGTATGGAATTCAGTGTTTCCCCTAGGTTTACTGCTTTGGGGGGGGGGGGGGGGGGGTGGCATTAGGATATATTTTTTTTAAATCCTCTGGAGCAGAGAGAGGAGCTGTGGATTATTGTTATTGATTAATGCATCATTGTTTCTTAGGGTCAAAAACACTAAACTCACAACTTAAAATGAAAGCATGTAGTTTATTTAATAAAAGAGCACATGTTCAATGTGAAAAGTGACAGTAGATAGGCTATAGATTAGTTGCAATTTTTTTTTTAAACACCTTGAATTTCAGGCGGGGCGCAGCGCCCCTCCAAGACAATGGTAGGGGAAACACTGGAATTAGAGACACGTTTTAGGCTAAAACGTTAGCAGCTACGGATAATGCTAGCTTAATTGGGGACACGTGTCAGCATTCATCTAGTCAGTAGGCCTACATTTGAGTTTTTTATTCAAAATAATGTTATTTAAGGCAGTTTTTTCCATACATTTATTGAGCAAGCATTTGTAGATAATATTGATGAGAGTAATTCATCCTGGTAAGTTCCAATTCCATGTGAGTAAAACATTGTAAAAGTAGCATGCTTCACAGACATAGCTGTTAGCCCGTTGCTGCGTAAACAGTGAACTATGCTCTGATTAAGTTGATGAAATATCTCAGATATTTAGCGTGATTGCTGACTGTTACCTATGTTATTGCCGTCTTATAATCACAGCTTTCCATGTCTTACATTTGTCTGCACTTTTCAAGCTGTTAGCTGCTGGAAGCAGCCTGTTAGTTAGTCATCTGTTTCTGCATCTGAGTGTAAAGTACATTTAAACCCATACAATAACCTATACATAACAGCGTTAACACTGTGGTTGAGATTGTGAGGGAAGCATCCAGTGAAAACATGAAGCTGAACAGTTTATTTTGTTTATAGATGCCAAATGCACTGACTTAGCAGCCATTGTTACACATATTGAGCTGTTTCAGTGGCATGGCTTGCGTAGATAATCAAAGGGTCTGTTTTCTCACCAACAGTGAAAATGAACCCTTTGCTGGATATGGCATCAGCAAGACCCCGGAGAGCAAAGATTAAACCTAGAGAAGAGGCTGCACATTTTACATCCTTGTGCAAAGACAAGGATGGATTTGATGTGAAGTTCATAAATTCCTTCAAAGGTGAGTGACAAAAGTATTTGCTTACTATTCTTGTCATTAGCATGACAAATGTGTATTGTTGTTTAACCTCATCACTTCTCCTGACCCATCCTCTGATCTTTGTTAGGTCGAGGAGTGTTCAGCTGCCGACCCTTTCAAAACGGAGACTTCCTAATTGAATATAGAGGGGAAGTCATAACTAAATCTGAACGTGAACACCGGCAACAAGTATACCATAATGCATTTAAGGTTTTCATGTTTGACTTTCGTATAAATGGACAAGAGTTATGGTAAGTAAATATTGTAATGTTATTTCTAAATGTGTAGTTACCCAGACATACAAACGCTGCTATCTTGATGTTAAGTTGGGCATACAGTGTACATTTCTATATGTATTTTATCTAATGCTAGTTTGCTGTGGTTGTAATACTGTTAGTTTGTAATCAGAATTGTGTCCTTGCCCAATCAGTGTTGATGCTGCCAAAGAGGACAACTCCCTAGGGAGACTTGTCAACGATGACCATGTGAACCCGAACTGCAAAATGAAATTGAACAAAGTGGATGGAAAGCCCCATCTTTGTCTTTTTGCACTCAAAGACATCAGTCCCGGAGAAGAGATAGCTTATGACTACAGTGATTCTGATTGGCCATGGAGATGCAAGGTATTTACGAATGGTGTCTTGTATCAACACTCTGCTATGTAAATCTATCATTTAACACTATGTTCACAACAAACTTAACTCTGCCATGTCCAATATGTTAGTCACATGGAAAATTGAAATTTCAACAGTTCTATACAAAATGCTATTAATACAAAAGATGATTTTAAATGATGGCCATTGACTTGATGACCTGTTATTGAACTATGAGGTGGATATTGTGTGTTAACTCACAACAACAGGCAAGTAAAGCATTTGTGTACTACTCTGGATGTTTAGTGATTAAACTTGGTCCTTCTTCATCCACAAGATTTCCACTGAGGCAGAGACTCTGCATGAAGATGCTGCCATGGCATCTGAGTCCCACTATGATGACATTCAACAGGTGAGTTAACCACAGCTCAATGTTGGTATTAGTTACATGTTTCTTTCCAGTTATAAACCATGAAGACTGGATGTGAATGCTGAGGTTAGATACACAGGTCCTGTGTATCACTCTACTGGACAGCTTTAGACACTAAGAGGACTGTGTGTCAATGCTGTTTTTCTTCTGTTAAACTGAATGATCATACTCTTTAGATATGAAATACTATAATCAGTGTCTTTCTACCTGATTGTAATAACTCACAACAAGAGCAAGTGAAGCATTTGTGTACTACTCTGGATGTTTCGTGATTAAACTTAGTCCTTCTTCATCCACAAGATTTCCACTGAGGCAGAGACTCTGGCCGTTTCTCAATCGCGAGGATATTGGCTTCCAAGCCAATATTTCAAGGATGCTACATCATCGAGTGCCGCCGAAGGACTGTTGCATACTTGAAATTCTACCGAGGCCGCGTCCTTGGTTTGGGGGAAATTTCGAGGCTGCACATGGGTAGACTTCGCGTCCTTAAAATCCCCACAATGCTTTGCGCATGGACCAATTTCCCCAAATCTGTGGCGGAAGATGTAAAGTGGGGCCTCTTATATGACGCACACCTGCACACTTGCTAGCCTGTTCCACTCTTTGTTTTCCGAATGCCAGGAAGTATTCTTGACTCGCTTCTGAAGCAAGATGCTCGGCTCGGCTGTGCTACCAAGCAAGCATCCTCACGATTGAGAAACGGCCTCTGTATGAAGATGCTGCCATGACATCTGAGTCCCACTATGATGACATTCAACAGGTGAGTTAACCACAACTCAATGTTGGTATTAGTTACATGTTTCTTTCCAGTTACAAACCATGAAGACTGGATGTGAATGCTGAGGTTAGATACACAGGTCCTGTGTATCACTCTACTGGACAGCTTTAGACACTAAGAGGACTGTGTGTCAATGCTGTTTTTCTTCTGTTAAACTGAATGATCATACTCTTTAGATATGAAATACTATAATCAGTGTCTTTCTACCTGATTGTAATAACTCACAACAAGAGCCAGTGAAAAATGTGTGTACTACTCTGGATGTTTAGTGATTAAACTTAGTCCTTCTTCATCCACAAGATTTCCACTGAGGCAGAGACTCTGGGTGTTTCTCAATCGCGAGTAAAGCTGCTTCAGAGCCACTATTTCAAGCATACTACGTCATCGAGTGCCGCCGAAGTACTGTTCCAATCTCCAGCATACTTGGAAATCTTCCGAGCCCGGCGTACTCCGTTTGGAGAAATATCGAGGCTGCACATGAGTAGACTCCGCGGTCTTAAAATCCCCACAATGCTTTGCGCATGGACCAATTTCCCCAAATCTGTGGAGGAAGATGTAAGGTGCGGCCTCTCATATGACGCACACCTGCACACTTGCTAGCGTGTTCCACACTTCGTTTTCCGAATGCCAGGAAGTATTCTTGACTCGCTTCTGAAGCAAGATGCTCGGCAGACATGTGCTACCAAGCAAGTGTACTCGCGATTGAGAAACACCCTCTGTATGAACATGCTGCCATGGCATCTGAGTCCCACTATGATGACATTCAACAGGTGAGTTAACCACAACTCAATGTTGGTATTAGTTACATGTTTCTTTCCAGTTATAAACCATGAAGACTGGATGTGAATGCTGAGGTTAGATACACAGGTCCTGTGTATCACTCTACTGGACAGCTTTAGACACTAAGAGGACTGTGTGTCAATGCGGTTTTTCTTCTGTTAAACTGAATGATCATACTCTTTAGATATGAAATACTATAATCAGTGTCTTTCTACCTGATTGTAATAACTCACAACAAGAGCCAGTCAGGATACTCTCTATGGTGCACCTGTAAAAATTGCAGAGTATCCTGGAGTCCATGTTGAACCTCTACATTCTGCGGAGGATGAAGAGCCGCTGTTCTTCTATCAAGCTGCTATCATCTAAATGTCGGTGCTCCTTCAAATGTTTTTGATATCTTAAAATCACTCTCAGCAAAGGCTACATACATTTTGTTAATTTTGGTCCAAAGCGCCTTACAATAAACGACACAACATTGTAAGAACAAGAGCTGAGCTGGAACATTTACTTAAAATAAGCTAATCCACAGTAAGAGCTGCTCAGTAGGTGCACAACTTTAAGTATCACCTTTATTTTTTGTCAAGGTGCGGGTGTAGACTCCCTGTTTTTGTAATCATGTAATAACATAATAGCTGAAATGAAGATTGAATATTTACACAAATCTCTTGGTTAAGATGGATGTTTTCTTCTTCTTTTCTATCATTGAACACAAATGCAGATGAGAATGACAAGGAGCCTGGCAGGAGAGGGGACATGCATGAGCCACCTGGTAAATGTACACAAAATACTCTGCTACTACCAATGAGTCACTTTCTCAAGCATGGAGGTTAAACCCTGGTTCAGGTTATCGTGAAGCGTTAAACGTTAAAGCCATGAACTGAATTTTTCCTGTTAAACTGGAAGATTTGAGTTTATCATGACCAAAAATGATCAGAATATGGTTTCCTGAAACTATATTGTTAGATGCGTCTTTTTCCTGTTAAGAAGTCATTTAAAAACATTGTGAGGACGAAATACAAGTCTCAGAAAACTTGATCCTGTTAGTACTATTATTATGTCAAATACTAACTTTAAGCTGCTTAAGTAAAAAAAGAAAACGTAACCCTACATACAGAAGAATCATTCCTGCAAGCTCTGCACAGTTAGACTTACAGATGTTTAAATATGGCAAAGAGCAAGCATTAGCATTTGATCCCTACATGCTATTGTTCAGAACCAGCACAATATCAGAAATTGGAAGAAGGAAAGCCGGAAAGACAGTTCGATTCCTTCATCCCAAACCCATTTGTAGTTATAGTTTTAGTAAGTAACATAATACATCTTAAATAAAATACGTGTTAACGTGGTTACCATTGACTGATCTCTTTTTCTGTTTGTAGAGTCTCTTGAAAATGCTGTGGAGAGGAATCCCAGGAGGATGCAAAAACAGAAGTGGTCTCCAAAAGAGGTGGCAGCAGTTTTGAGACACTTTAATGCACACATTGCCAAGGGGAGATTGGCCACGATGATAGAATGCAGACAGTGCAAAGCAGCAGAGCATCCTATTCTGGCTGGTCGCTCTTTGCAAAATATTAGAGACTTCGTCAGGAACCAAGGCACGGCTCAGAAGAAAAAAGCACTTTAATCGAGATTTAATCGAACATGCAGTGAGGACAGTTCACAGTGAAACTTGTCATTATTATGTTACATGTAGGAGCGATGTTTTAAAGCTGTTATGTTAGGAGAATAAAAATGAAATCATTCCGGGGGCTGAGGGGTCGTTGCAGCAGATAGTTATATTGACAGATTGGAACTGGAACGGATCACTAACTCATAAACAAAACGTTGCTAAAACAGAAACTAACTACCGTAATAAGGTAAACAACTATCCACAATCCAATTTTATCAAAACAACTTCACACCCGCCGCCCTCTGAGCTGGACACATCACACAGGTGTCTGTCTGCAGCCAGGGGAGAGAGGAGGGGTCAGGGACCGTCTACAAAGTGCAACGCTGAATAAAGATACTATACTCAATAACTGCTCTGTTATAAAGCTACAAACATCACATTTTAAATCACACAATAATATACTGTTGCTTAAACTACACATGCAAGTTTGCGAAAATAGGTGGTTTTAGTAGTTTATTTGCAGTATTTTCTTCAGCGTTGCACTTTGTAGACGGTCCATGACCCCTCCTCTCTCCTCCGGCTGCAGACAGACACCTGTGTTATGTGTCCAGCTTGGAGGGCGGCCGGTGTCAGGTTGTTTTGATGAAAATTGGATTGTGGATAGTTGTTTACCTTATTACGGTAGTTAGTTTGTGTTTTAGCAAAGTTTTGTTTATGAGTTATTGATCCGTTCCAGTTCCAATCTGTCAATATAACTTCCTTGAAGATCTGCTGCAATGACCCCTCAGCCCCCGGGATAATTTCATCTATATTCTCCTAACATAGCTACTTTAATCTCGTAATTAAGACTTTATTCTCCTATCTTTTCTTTTTTGTGTGGCCCTAATCCTCTGTCGTACCAAGGTAATGCTGGAAGGAGAGTTATATGTTTAAAATAATAAAGATTTAGTCTTAGCTCAATTTTCATGTGAGAAAATGTTATGTGAAAATAACCATTAAACTTGGCTCATTGTTCACTGTGCAAGGTGCAATATGTCCTTTTGTATCAGCTTTTAAACGGTAATGCTCCAAGTAGATGAGCAGTCTTGTAGGGCAAATAGCATTTTGTATTAGTGATAAACCAGTTCGGTCACTTTGCTATAAAATGGTTATCGGTTCTTTTCATATCGATGATGTAATTGCAATTAGCAGTGCTGCAAATATAAGCATTTACTTGCAAATGGATTTAATTCGTCTCGGAAGACCTGCTTGTAGTATACCCCTCTGGAGAGTATTAGAATGTGGTTCTACATTTGCATGAAAACAACAGATTGCAAACAGGAGGCAAGCAATAACCAAAATACATTAACATACTTTTAAGCTATATATCTATGGTGCACTATATTGTCTATTAAAATATTACATCACAAATCAGGTATTCCTATGCTGTTGTGCAAAACATTTTGTCCGTTTATAAAAGGTTTGTTCTTGTAATGCACAATCCAACACGTTTGTGTAAAGTTATGTTCCATTTAATCATGTTAGTCCCTTTAATACACTTCAGTGACATGTTTGTGTGTTGTATAGCTACTGTCCTCACAAATAACCATTGTGTCATGGGCGGGGCTTATGCAGCTCATTATCTGCTGTCCTCATAATGAAGCATGGTGTCAGGTTGTTGTATTTTGAGTTGTGCTATGTGTATGGGACATTTGAAGTGGGATTTGTGTTGTATGGCTCAAAATAGATTTTTTGATATTCAAAACATCTTTGTAAAGCTAGTGGAAAGGGGTGTCCACCTAATGATGGAAAAAACGTGTTTGGGTCAAAGTGTCCTTTTAGTTCACAAAAACCCGCACGTGTGTGTGTGTTTGTGTGTGTGTGTGTGTGTGTGTGTGTGTGTGTGTGTGTGTGTGTGTGTGTGTGTGTGTGTGTGTGTGTGTGTGTGTGTGTGTGTGTGTGTGTGTGTGTGTGTGTGTGTGTGTGTGTGTGTGGGTGCAGGCAGCCTGGGTGCTGGTGGCTCTGGGCTGGATCTTTATTCCGGTCTACATCTCTGCCGGGGTGATCACGATGCCCGAATACCTGGCCAAGCGCTTCGGAGGCCAGAGGATCCGCATCTACATGTCCGTGCTGTCACTCATCCTGTACATCTTCACCAAAATATCTGTGAGAACACACACACACACACACACACACACACACACACACACACATAAACAATGTACAATCACCGACAGAGTAGACACATTTGTATTTGTTGTGTGTCCCAGACAGACATATTTTCGGGAGCATTGTTTATCCAGGTGTCG